TTCTGGACGTAAGAGAGCGACCAGGACAGCAGACCCATCTTCAGCAAGGGAAGGCTCTGGCTTCAGGGAGCCATACCGAATAGTAGAGAGCTCGCAAGCCACCCTGTCTGCGAGGGTGCGAAGAGCGTTCCACACCTGAAGCACCCGATGGGAAACTGAACCAGCAAGAAAATGTATTGCCGCCTGCAGGGGTGTGAAAGGGCTCTTGTGATGGCGGATGCCTCGCGCTATCTTTCAAATAAAAAGACGTCTTAAAGAAAAAGCGGCGACAAGAACTCCATCCATCGGGTGTCAAGGAATTGCAGTTCTGGAACACCGTAGTTGACGCACTGGATCTTCAGGGCCTAGCCTGTCGACAAATGAGTCCCTTGCATCAGGCAGCGGAGACCCTGCAAAGTCCCCAGAGTTAAGCCTAGCATCGAGCGGAAGCAATACTAACTGACGAGCCGCGCTCAACTCCGCCAGTCTCTGCGTGGCTTCTGGTCGGCCGAATAGCTCATGCCGCTTATCACAGCTGTCACAAACGAAGTAGGCCATGTTGCAAACAACCGCCAGTGTTGGGATACAAACACTTTTCAGCATGCGAATGCCTTTTTCTGCGTCGACCAAACTGCAACAAAGAGCACCAATCATGATACTTCGCGAAATTCGCAGTTGCACAGGCTGAAAAAAGCGTTGAATCTCCAGTCCCCATCTTGCTTTCATATACTGGTTATGGAACAAATCGTGCCCCGCTACAAAGTCGTGAACTTAGGCTCTAGCTCAACTTTAAGCTTCATCCTCTCAGCGCCTTACCTGAGAGCCTGCGGAGTAGTAACAACTACACACCCATCCAAGGGCGCCTGCTGCTGAGTGAGAGTAATGTGAATATCTCCAGTTCCAGGAGGAAGATCCACGACTAGATAATCTAGGATACCCCAGTGCGTGCCCGTTAGCATCTGCTGAACGACAGAGCTAACAAATGGACCGCGCAGTGCGGAGTGCCCCTGAAATAATAGACAAAGGGCTGCCGTGACGTAATGAAACGAAATACATTTTTTTGGTTCATGAAATGCTGAAAGCAATCAGAATGCCCAGTAAACAAGCGGGTGCAACAAAATTCTAGCAGACTATCTAATGGGTCACAGCCAGTTCGTCATCCCAAGTAAATAACTGTCCCCCGACACTCGCCTGGTAATTCTTTTTCGTAATGAAGCCATACGACATACACTTGATCCCTGAGACTACAAGAGGAACCATGAGCAAGTTCTCTTCGCGTGCAACTTCAGTTGTTTGCGACTCTCCAATGTTTGCTGCAGGCGGTTCGGAGTTCTTGATGGGCCAATCTTCATATTCAATGCGCCTCCGTCGCACTGCTGAAGTTCCCTGCTTATTCTGTACCTGGAGTGGTACCGTGGCACGTGATTTCATATTATCTTCTTCGTTCGAACCACACTCTTCCTTTCCAGCAAATCGTACACGGGCTTCCTCCTTGTTAAGCATGGTAGGAAGGCTTGGCCCATAAATATCGGCGTCTAGTAATCCAACCTTCGCACCGCTCCTTCTCAGCATCAAAGCGAGGGATAGGGCTACAGTACTCTTACCAGAGCCTCCCTTACAGGAGGCAACGCCCAGTATATATTCCACTCGCCGTAGGTTTGGGGGACGACCAGGAGAGTCGCCCCGGTTCGCGGTCATTGAATCCAAGGCCACGTCCACCTAATAATACGTACATAAAGACACGCATGGACTTACCCCTCAATGACAGCTTACGAGAAATCGCTGTGCAGCGGCTCATAGCCAAGCACAGTGGGTAGATATCGATACAAAAAAGGTACTCCCATAGACAAGTGACGCTAGAAGCAAACACTCTCACACCCAATTGCTCATTAGGCTACCACATACCTTTTTGACCCATGGCAACTGCTTCACAACCGCTTCTGCATCTTCTTGTATGCGACTCTTGAAGGGGCAAGCAGGCGTGGTGAGGCAAAGGCAAAATTTGACGTTTCTACCTCCACCTTCTTCTTTTCCTATCTGAAGGTCCTTAACGAACCCGAGGGAGACAATATCACGGCCTATATCCGGGTCTTTCACCTACAGCAGAGCGAGGTGTCCACAAACAAACAACGGTCACACTGCCTTCCCCATAAACATCTTGAGCAGCCACTTTCCGCTTCACCAGTTAGGCATAAGCGGGCAAAGATCATAGTGCATGTACGGCCTTTTGATTAAGGCGGCACCTGGCGTAGCTGGCTCAAGACTTGTCCATGGAAGGCACGCAGAATCGTCTGGTGGGACTCTTCGAACAATTCATGAGCTTCAACAGCAAGATCCCTCGCTGCGTCCTGAGCTTGTGCTGAAACTTCGGACTGACTGTAAGACAAAAGCTCGGCGTCCACAAGGTCGGGATCCATCGACCAGGAATGTGAGGAATTGCCATGCCATCAACTCACGCAGAGGAATTGTGAAACTGTTGGCGAATCACACAACAAGCAACCTTGAAAACAGCAGGTAGTTAACTACCACGAGAACAGCAGAAGTAAGCAAAAGATCCTCATGCGTTCTTTCATTGCAGGCAGACAGGTCGGAGCCACGAAGTAAGGACCTTATCGCGACTGAGCGACGTAGGCTAGCAGCTGTCGCGACCGCTCGGTCTCCAAAGGTCTGAAGCAATTCTGCCTATCTTTTTTCGAGCCAGTTTATTCTGTCACGAAATGTTAGAAGGCTGCCGCGTTTGGCGGGCTGCGGGGCCACGAAAACTGGTGGGGGAAACCTGTACGCTAGAAAGGTATAACTGCTCCATTAACCCTTTCGCATAATGAACGACTCACTATTACTATTTGCATACGCCAGATTAGTCGCATTTGCGAAACCTTCTGGAACGACGTCTACTCAGCTGTAGTGATCGTGCATGCAAGCATCACGATACAGATTTTGGATATGATCTCAGAAGGGAATATATCGAACAAGAATAATGCTAATATTAACAGTGCATTTATTTAAGCCGTCATCAAGTAACATTAGTAAGACGGCATTACCTCGTTTCGTCGCTGAGTTTGTTCCCCAGCAGCGGAGCAAAGAAGCGACGGCCCCGATTAGACGCCGTAGTTCATCCTGAAGTACCCGCAGCTGTTTGCGTGCACTACGTCAGCTTTTCCAAGCACAATAATGCATCTATATATAATCTGAGCACGCTGAATATCAGGGTGAGTACTAGCATTTCTTGGAATACTGGCGTGCTGCTGGCCACATTGCACGGTTGTTCATTACAAACGCAGCACCCGTTCCACAACGTGGAGTGCCGTCAGTTCGCAAGCCAAACTCCTAGAAACACAGTTGCGCTCCTCTTGGAGGACTATTGAAAGTCGTGTGAAATACAAGCGGGGCCGAAGGAGTGACATTTTGTTCCTTCCAGCGGAAGGAGACAAAGGAGGTCTGGTAGGAGACAGTCGAATCGAAAAGATGGCGGCGGATGGAGCCACGAGGGAACCAGAAAGTGAGGATATGATGCCCACAAGCGGAATTTCCAAGCGTCAGGGCTCCAAAATTCTAGCGGAAAGAGTGAGGCACCGCACCCCAAAAAACTTCAAAGCCAACAATACTGTCTTTATATACACACTGCTACTCAGTGGTAGTAAGCGGCTTTCAATAGGCTGGATTCCCAAGGTGAGCTTCAAAAGTACCGAAAAGTAGTCGGCTCGTCCATTAGTGCCAACACTAAGCAAGAGAGACGGATTTCCACTTCGACCCAGGGAGACACTTCAGCCAGGACCAAGAGCTGGCAGTCATCCGATGATCCAAAGAGCTTAGAGAGCCGTCTGGCGGCTATCAGGCAAACGCACAACGCTGTTCTTCAAGGCATTGAGGTTGCACAAGATAACATGATCAAAATGATGCAAGGTGACACAAAGCTACCCGTTGGATGCTAGAGGAGCAAAAACCACTCCTTAAACACAACAAGTGGTTCCGAAATTCTTTGGGCGGCTTGAGAGAAAGAGTTGTGCTGTCGAATTGTGTCCGTTGGGTGCAGAACAGGAGAAGCAGTACTTAAGAACCTTCAAACTTAAGTACGAGAAAAATACTGAGGCTGCACACAAGTCCTAGGTAACAATGTGCAAACTGCTTCAAATGCTCAAACGCTCTGATCGTTACTGCTGGGAAGGAGGGGTGATACTGTTCTGAATTTTCTGGCGAACATTTAGGACTGAAGATATCTTGGAGCAAACGAAAAAGCTCCAGAAGGTCCGGCTTCAAGCCTTCGCTCCCAGTACTGCAGCTTGGAGGAAGTTATTTTGTTTCTGATGGCACAAGTCCCCGTAGCATCTAAAGCAGCTAGTGTTATTAAAGCCATTTCCAAGAGCTAATCTAAACCAGGTCACTTAAGTGAGTGGGTCATCTTTGGGGTGCCTTGCCAACGGGTACTTGCTGCTCTACACTTTCGTGCGTTCCACCGTTTTCTTGCAACAAGTGCTGTTTTTGCTTTCTGGCAGAAGCAGAAGCCCCCGCTGCAACTAGAGACCTTGCATCGAATGCTAACAATCAACTTGAAGGCTGCAGAAGAAGAAGCAAACCATTTTGCCGAATTGAATAAGTCGTTGGTCTGCCAAAACCTTTATTTTAAGCTAGAGACATCCCGATACTACTTTGTTGGAGAGACTTGCTCATTCTACGGCAGGTGTAGGAATTATGGCTAGAGTGAAGATTTTACTGAGGCTGAAACGCAGCAATCAATTGTTCTGTGATGGTTTAGATGGACAAAAATACACAACTGGTTAAAGAAAATGCAATATTACGGGAACAAAACGATATCCTTGTTCGACGAATGGCCATTAAACGGCGGCAACAAGAAAAGCGAGGCGGGCCAAGCTACATCGTTGCCAAAAGTGCACTATCCGTCATATGAAACGCGAGCAATGTCATGACGTTGAGTGAAACGGGGGAAACTTTTCCCCTGCTTCAGCTACAGTTTGAGTGTCTGTGTATAGTAAGCACAGCATTGGAAATGCTAGTACAACGGCATGAAAGGATCGTACGTCTCTGTCGAACGTCTGGTGCGCAATGATATAGAGGAGGGCGAGCTTGCTATTCTACTCGAAAAGGGCCATATAGCCTGCTTGGAGCCTTCCCCAGATGTGTCCCCTAGTCTTCTTCGCCAGACTGTTACACCCAGAACTCTGGCAAAAGCCAACGCCCAATGGCGCCAGATTACGAAGAAGGAAAACTATGGTGAGGCACATTTAAAATGGGCCTTGAAGCGTTCACGTGAACAGTGTGGAAAGCTAGGAGCGAAATATCCCCATGAGTGCTATTTGAGCTGAACACAGAAAGAGAACCTACGAGGAGCGAGGAGCTATCTCGGCTACATGCTCTCTGCAACAAGCAGAAGAGCGAACTTACTCTTATGAAGGACACCGAAGGTCGTCGAATGGAGCTGGAGCTACTTTTGAAGCAGTGGTCTGCTCGGCTGATTGCCGCTACTCGATAAGTTCAGTGTTTGCTGTAGAAATAAAGGAGTCGCGTGCAGGAAAGAGGTCTCTAAGCTGATTCTGCTTTGTAAAACGACTTTCAGAATGTCGTAATGCATGCTTATCAAAGTCTGTACATCAATTTTGTCGCTTCTTGGTACAGTCTACTGGATATGAAGAGTCGGCTTACTGATGCAAGGAATAGCTTAGTGGTAAGTTTAAAGTGCAAAAACGATTGGATGCCATTGGTGTTGTAGGCTTTTGACAGGTACCTACGGGCATCCTCTCGTAAATGTTCGTTCAGATACGAAGCAACGATGCAAAAAACAGTGAAGAATGCATAAGAGGCGAAGTGAAACTTTCCATGGGTGACAAGGACGAATTTTTAAAACTGATTGTGAAAATGGAGCAGTGAGACAGCTAACGTTCTTCATGCACAGCACAAATGTGATATTTTTTCAACGCTTTCCACCACATGAGGTTCAATCGCCACAAATATATCCATAGATTTGCCACAATACACGGGAAAGTCGTACACACAATCCACTCGGGAACTGCTATGTTAAGTTTTCTGGATCAGACTTATCAAGCTGCTGCGTCAAAACGGCAAGGCTTCGACCGAGGCAACGAAGATAAACCTTTCTTGGCTAGACAGTAAAGCCGGCGAAATCAAACCAGAATACGCACCCGTCCTCTCCTCTGCAAGGAAAACAGTGCAAGCCGAAAAGCATGAGCTTAACATGATGGCCAAACGTCCAGATAGCATACATCAAATGGAGAACAAACAGCCGCGCAATATGTAGGAAAGGCCGATTGCATGTGTTGCTGGTTGAAAAATGATGTGCTAGCTGCCTTGAGTCCTTGATAACGCCGCCACCTTTCTTGTTTTCTTCAAGACAGGGCTTTGCACATCCATGTCTCTATTCGGTTTCAAAATTTAATTTGGAGCCTAGGCTGGAATACAGCACTTTTGAATATGCTAGTCAGTAACACTCTGTTCTTTGGGGAATGGCTCGTCGTGGCTACGGGGACTGTGTAGTTCATAGGCACTACAATAGGGCTTGCCGGTGACCTATAGAAGATAGCTAGCTAGCGACCTACAAGGGGTCGCAACACTGGAGGAGGACAGGACCCTCTTACTAGGATCAAAGTAAGGCAATTTGTCTGCGAATTAACGTGCTTACGATAGAGGTGCCTGAAAATGCGTGGAGACTGGGGCTGGCGATAGAGCCGGCACCAGTGCAGGTGTAGTGCCAGGCACTACAATTGACCTTCGTCGCCACCCCTCGAGGCTTAGTAACGCGAACGGGCATGAATAATATAGAATATTTTAAGGCATAAGGCACCACTGGATATTAGGAAATCATAAAAGGGAATAGTGTGCTCGCTAGCCAGCACCGGGTATGGGGCTGGATGCGAGGTTGGTGCCGTGACTCAGGCACTGACCCTCAGCGAGGGTCAACAGTCAGTTCTATTATTTTGGGTTTTTCTTACCTCTCAATAATATGAACTCAGCTGTATATGGCCATTTAGGGTATACAGCAGTAGTTGGCGAGAATCATGGGTTTTAGATAGTAGATGCAGAGTGTGCACTTAATCAGACTAGCCCAGGGACCATACGTAGTAACAGTGTAGGCCAGCTGTTCACTACAGCAGGCCTCCTCCCCAGAGGGCCTAGGAGGCGAGCTCCCCGAGTGGCGCGAATTGAAAGACAACAGACTTTGGAAACTTAAGAATAACTGTATTTCGATATATGTAAGCTACTGTTTCAAGGAAATGTGCCAACGTTAGGTGCCGATCATAGGCCCTTCTCGAGGGGCAGGTAGCAGCGTAGTCGCAGCAGTAGGCGCTGTGCACTACATTTGGGGGCTGTTCCGGGATTGAAATCTTTGTTCTTTCCGGACTTGGGAGTAGAAATACTATGTTTTAATAGCTCACGCCTAGAATTCTTCGCTCGGTAAGTGATGCATCTCCGCGACGGACGCGTTATCGGCCCCACACCGCAGGAGACTTCTACAATGTCAGTCAACAAAATGCCCAGCGGGACGCCAGCCCATCATCTCCATGCGACTCCGAAGTCCACCGTGGCAGAGCGGCCGCATGGGCATAAGGAGGCGCCCCCGCAGGTGATACCTATGACCAATGTTATGCCAGGGGACATTCCCTTCGTCACCTGGGACCAATTCCAGTCTGCAATGAGTGTGATTAGAACTGTAATAGGGGGAACCGGAGCATCCGGCGCAACGACTCCTATACTAGCTGAAGACGGCAGCACTATGCAGGCCTTTCTGCTGCCCCTCGAGCGCCGGTACACCCAGATGGGATTGGAACCGCGCGAGTGAGGAAACGCACTTATAGACCACCTTGTGGGCCCGGCTCTAACGTATTGGATGTATCTACGGAGAACTATCGACCTAAGCGACTGGGCGACAGTACAGCGCAGGCTTTTGGAGCGGTTTGACAAAATAATGTCGCAGAGTCAATTGCTAAAGGAGTTGGCTAAAGTACGGTGGAATGGTAACCCGAAGGAATACGCGGACCGGTTTGCGGCTGTAGCGGAGCGTGGTTTGGGTGTTGCCCCCGACGAACACTCTGACTATTACTGCACCGGGCTACCGACGGACCTCAATCTTCAAATAGCCAATAACGGGCAGGAGAAATATCAGTCGTGGGAACAAGCGGCAACAGCCGCAGTACGGCTCTATGAGCCCAAGCAGAGTGTGCTGGAACTCCGAGAAAGGACCACTCGAGCTCGAGCCATTAGGGCTGCTATCCAAGCTAATGGAACTCGTGGGCGCCAGGAAATTGAAAATCGACCTGGGGGCACCCACACGAACTGCTTTGAGTGTCAGGGTCGTGGACATCCGGCACGTATCTGCCCCAGCAAAGGGGAACGTACCAAACGTCCGGGGAAATATGCAAGAAGTGTGGCGGTGTGGGACACTATGCTCGGGACTGTCCTACGTATGAACGAGGGCGGCCCAAGCCGGCGGACAAGAGCAGTAGGGAGCCCACCCGTCCTAGCACTGAGAAGACGGAACGATTAAACGTGCGGGCCTAGGCGTGGTTGGAGACGAGCGTTCCAGGCCGCGTAGCCATGGCAAAGGGATGATATGTGCGGTAGCGACAGGCCCTAATGCCATTCCAGTCTCCCTTGAGTGGGGAAACCAACTCCCCAGCACTGCGGAAAGAACTAATACGAGCGATGGGCACGCGGAAGGGACTCAGCCGCTTTCGGAAACGCGGCCGGAGTCTGGGTCAGCGTCGATCCTGAGTGAAGAGACTCCGGAAGCGACGACGGATAGCAGCAGGAAGTCTGCAGAGGCAACAGAAGACGGCTATAGGTTAGACGCGACAGAGATTGTGCAACACTGGTGGAGGGAAACTTGCCCGAAAGAGTTTACGACCAAGGGGAGCATTGTGTTATGTGGGTGCGACGGCGGTACTTCGCGTTGAGCTCGCTGGGAGTCCTTGTGAGGCCGTCTTGGACAGTGGGGCTCCGAAAAGTTTCATTAGTCCTAAAACAGTCGAACGACTGCAGCGGAAAGTGCGGAGACTTCCAAAAGACCATAGGTTCACCGTAGCTACAGGTGAACAACTACGCATTGATCGGGTTTTGACGGGATTAACGATGTGGTGCGCACATGCACGTTTTTCCGGGGACTTCTCAGTGGGACCCGTTCCCTATGACCTAGTCTTGGGTTTGGATTGGCTAACGGAACACAAGGTGGCCTGGTATTTTCAGTCTGACAAACTCCGAACCTATGTGAATGGCCAGTGGTGCGAGTTACCGGTCGTTCGGACTGGTGAAGCAAAGCTGCAAGGTAACAGTCCCACCGTAGTCCACCCAAGGACCCCAGCAGAGCAAGCATATGAGATGTTGGCCAAACAAGTGGCGGGTATCTCAGCCGAGGAGACAGCTGTATTCCTACGCCCGCCGCCAAAGAGGTACAAGTCCCGCGCGAAGACTAGGGCCAAGGCGCGGATAACGTCGCCCGCTCGTCAGGCGGCGGACGATACTAACGATCTCAAGACTCCGTTGCACGGTTTACACCTCATACTGGCTTTGCCTGAGGCTTGTTCGGCAGTGCCCTTAAGACTCTCGGATGAATGGCAAGGCGCGCTTTGTTGCGCGTTGATAGGGAGTCAACCCACGTCCTCCGGCTGGCGTAGTCCTTTGGCCTCAACCGCCTCGGTGACAGCGGAGAGTGACGAGGAGTCTCCCTGGCCTATGGCAAAACTCGAACACACTCTATTCGACGAATGGATCAATTCAACTGAGGCGCAGGATATTCCAAGTGAGGTTGCTCAGGTGCTGCACGAGTATCGGGCGGTTTTCCCCGATACCTTACCTAAAGGCATACCTCCGAAACGCCCTCATGATCATCATATTCTCCTTGTGCCTGGGAAACTCCCAGCGAGATCTGCAATATACCGTATGACCCCAGATCCGCTCACATTCCACAAACAGGAGATAGCTAAATTATCGGACGGTGGTTGGATCGGACCGACCTATTCGCCTATTTGCTCTCCTACGATCATGGTGGACAAACGTGATGATGGCTCCGGGGAGCGGAAGATGCGTATGGTTGTCAATTACCAGACTCTAAATGCCCTTACGATAGCCCCTGATTTTCCACTACCTCCCATTCAAACCATTCTGGAGCTGCTCGGAGGCGCCAAGTATTTTTCCACCTTGGACCTGGAAGCAGGATTCCATCAAATACGTATGGCTAAGGAAGACCGGTGGAAGACGGCCTTCCGGTCCGTTCTCGGGCTATTCGAGTACCGCGTGATGCCGTTCGGCCCTAAGGGTGCTCCCGCTACGTTCCAGGCCAATATTAATGCCTATC